GGAAAGGAAAAAAAAAAAAAAAAAAAAAAAAAAAAAAAAAAAGTTCTTGAGGAAATCATATATACCAAATATTCGATACTGAATTTAATATGTGCTAACTGTATTACCTATTTAGAGATGAGTTTCCCCCCTTTTCCTCATATTTACATTCTTTACAAAAAAAAAGAATGAAAGTAATGCAGAGATGTGGGAAATACCGATGCTTTGCATTAAGATGCAAAGCTATGAATAAATTCTAGGTTCTAAACTATGGTAGATAACTCCTCATTCTTCACTTTTTCAGTTCTCCACACCAACTTATGTGGCCTTATGGGTTTTTTGCCTTATGGTTTTTTTAAAATTTTCTTGCTATTAAAGCATGGGCTGCTAGAAGAAAACTTGGAGCATGCATATATCTTATTTTTAAGTTGGTAGCAGATTCCAGATCTTGATAAAGTAAGAAATGCATGAACTATTGAGGTTTTTCTCATTTGTTTGATGAAAGCTACTTGCTCAAACTTTACTAACCTAACTAACCCACCTCCATTCTTTGGACTGTGATAACTTTCAGCATGATCAAGTCTCTAAAATAAGCTCAGAAAGAAGTGGAACTCCAAAAAAACGCAAAGCTCCACCACCTCCTATCAGTCCTACCCAGGTAAAAACAACAGCAAACCACAATTAACAAGCATTACAACAACAAGCCATCATTTTGTCATTTTGTGTTTAGACCACAAAGAAATATATTGGAACTGACCCTTAGGTGCACATTTAAATTTTTCTTTAGCAGTTTTAAATTACAAATTTTGGTAACAAGAATTTTGATTATTAGTATGGAAATAATGTTGATTCTTATCTATTTCAAGACTGTAAAATTGAAGAGTGTCTTTAAAAAAGTATCAAGGAAATTAATCAAAATCTTATGAAAGAAACGTCTTCCTTAAGATGATAAGCTCAGTCTGTTTCTAGTTCCTTTTATTAACAGTTATGGTAAGGGGTGGGAGAATGGGTAGCTAGTGTGGCAGTTAGTTAAAAATGAATCTTGGTTAGTTTCTTAAAACATTGCTAATTTATTTGTCTTTCTAATTACATTTAAGGTTGGCTAATATTAAAAGTAGTTTTCATTTCTGAGCTTATAGTGACTACTGCATAGAGGAGGAAGCTCAGAAATCTATAAAATGGCAAATAAAAACAGGCTGGGGTTTGTTATTAAAAAGATCATCGGCCATAAAGAGAATAACTCATATTCAAACAATAGAGAGGAAAGTCTTACCTGATAAATAATTTTAAATATATGTTAGCATATTCATTAATAACATTCTTGACCTGCAATAGTTTTATAGATTTTAAAAATTGATTCTGTTAATGTAAGAGCAAAATTACTTAATTACACTATGCAGACATTCAGAAAGTATTTGAAGTATCTGAATTGCATTGAAAATGTTACCCCTGAATTAATTGAAGCTAAGGATACTTATTGTTAGGTTTAATCGCGTCGGTTAAATGGGTTGGTTCTTTAGCACCAGAGAAGAAAAGACTTTGAAGATACCTTTTTTATTGGTGGTTTTCATTTTGTTTTTTTAGTTGAGTGATGTGTCTTCCCCAAGATCAATAACTTCAACACCACTTTCAGGAAAGGAATCAGTATTTTTTGTTGAACCACCCTTCAAGGTAAGGTATTTCCTTTCTGTGTTCAATTTTGTTACTGTATTTAAAGATACATGATAGACTTGCTTTAAATTATACAACATTGGGTAAAACAAAATTTACTTATACATCATTGGTTCACAACCTTTCCACCATGAAGGACCCTCTGATTATTTTTTGTGGCATGGATCCCACTAAAAAAGAATAGGGTGAATAAATTACATTTACTAACTAATAATTTTCTTCATTTAAAAAAAAGGGACAAAATCCACTTACATGTGGAATCTGAAAAATTTCAACTCATAAAAGCAGAGAATAGAAAGGTGGGGAGGGGATTGGGAGATGTTGGTCAAAGGATACAACATTTCAATTAGGAGGAATAAATTTGAGAGATCTATTGTACAGCATGGTGACTATAGTTAAAAACAATGTGTTGTATTCTTAAAAATTGTTAGAGAATAGATTTTAACTGTTTTCATCACAAAAAATATGTGAGGTAATGTACATGTTAACTAGCTCAACTTAGCCATTCCACAATATATACATATTTCAAAACATCATGATGTACACTATAAATATATATACTTTTTATTTGTCAATTAAAAAATAAACAAATTTTTTGAAAAAGGAACCGAGGTGTAGAAGTTACCAGCTTATGATTGGTAGTCATTCCCCTCATTTATTCCTGTATACAGATGGTTGAGGATATGGCAAAAATTATGTTTTAGAATGTGGTATCTTGGACTGGATCCTGGGATAGAAAAAGGACCTTAGTGGAAAAACTGATGCAATCTGAATAAAAGTCTGTAATTTAGTGGATAGTAATTTGCCAATGTTAATATCTTCATTTTGACAAATGTATCATGGCTACATAATTTGTTAATTTTAGGGGTAACTGGGTGAAGGGAACAATCTTGCAACATTTTTATAAATCTAAAATTGTTCCCAATAAAAAGTGTATTAAAATTTTTTTAAAAAGAGGCACGGATAAGCATTTACCTGATAACCAGTATTCTTACCAAATTGAGTTGATATATTGCCAATTGAAAAGATAGAAACTTTTGTTATTCTCTGATGTTTTACTGAGAAGCAAAGCAATTGTATATTTTTAATTAAATTTCTTCCTTACTATAAAAGTAATATGTATTTATTTGAGAAATTTTAGAAAATCCATTGGATCTTATTCCAGTTGATTCTGTAGGTTTGTGGTTGGTAAGTATTTTAAGGAGGTGAAAGGATATTTCCATTCAATATTTGTTTACCTAACAATCACTAGGAAATTGCACCTGAGAAGAAATAAAATTTATAATTGTTCGATTGAAGTTCCAAGATTTTTTGCAGATGGATATTCAGGGACAAAGGATTAGAGAAAATCTTTAGGGCATCAATTGCCAATCCAAGACCATAGGAATTTTTATTCCCTTATATAATTACCTTTGTCTTCCCTGAAAAGTCTTATTTATTACCATTCTTCTTAGAAAGATTAATAATAACATATTAATAGTGGATAATTTATAAAATGATAAAGCTAAAAAATCTTTTAATATATTTTAATCTGTGTATAAACTAGATAGATACAACTTCTTTGATTCATTTTGAAAGTGATATTTGCCATCTTAGGTTTTAGGACACCGCCCGGTAAATTAACTATTACAAAAAAACTACTGTAATCTTAAATGCATTTTTATTCTACTCACTAAATGATATTTCTGAAAAATATGAGTATATTCCCCTATGGAACTTCTAATGTTTTAGAAATTATACCTTAGGAGGTAATTATCACTTATATTCTTTTATATTTTAAAAATATCTTTTTTCCTTAAGATTTTTCAGCTGTTTTTCTAGTGGAAGAACACTGGTTCTGTTCTGTGTAAACTCAAGGAGGGAAATCTGTTTGATTCTTTTACACAATGTTTTATTTAGGAATATTCTTTAAAGTCATATCTGTATTTCACAGGCTGAGATCAGTTCTATACGAGAAAACAAAGACAGACTAAGTGACAGTACTACAGGTAAGATAATGGAGCACTGTTTTTGTTCCTTTGACAAAACTTTACACTATGTGCATTTAAAAAGCGCAAAGGCCAAGCCAGGGTACTCTGTGTAGGGAGGTCGGGAGACCAGCATGCCATCACAGAGCTGTCAGTAATGCACAGGCTGACGTTCTCTATACTTCAGAGAGACTTAACCTGGATTTTAAAGTGTCTCTGAGTTTGGATATGAAAAAATGCATCCCTGTTTTCATTTGTCCCTAACTAAATATTAGCATTTTTAAAAATTATGAATATAGGCAATAAACCCGAGTGGTATTAGCAGACCAGTGGCTTTGTCACCAAAATTCACAGATAATTTCTTGTCACCTTACTGTTATTGCAGATGTCTTGAAATACCATTTACAATATCTCTACTAAAAATTATGGCAGTTAATAGACCTCCTGTTAGATCTCATTTGGTGTGTTACAAAATAAGCTCTTAAATTACTGTCATCTGTGTATTTTATTTTATGCATTTAAAAAACATTATTTTCAGATGAGGTCCATAAGCTTCCGGCTGTCAGCTCACAGCATTCATTGCAGCTGAGTAGCAAGTTATTTCTCAAAGGAAGAATGAACCATGCACCTCCATTGCTACTACAGCCTATCTTTTCTACTTTGGATTTCAAGTAGACATGTGCAAAGACGTACAGAGTGTTACATGAAATCATATACAATCATATTGTCTTCACTGAGATAGCGTTTAATTCATTGTATCTTTTAAGAGTCCTTCCTGAGAGTTTATCCTGTAAGAATGTAGTACGGTACCTTCAGAATCAATTTAAAATGAAGAGTAGATGATTTCAAAGGCCACTTTTTGCTCCAGCATTCAGTTTCTTGATCTATTGTGTATTTCATATGTGTTTGGAGCTTTTAATTTGCAGAATTTAGAAATATTAAACTTTCTAATTCCTGGCAAAGAATGGTGTTAATATAACTGAACGAGTGTTACACTGGTTACTTTAAAAACCTTCCATTATATCCTAGAAGTAATTTCTTTTTTTTTTTAAAGACGACCGATAAGGGGATCTTAACCCTTGACTTGGTGTTGGCAGCACCAGGCTCACCCAGTGAGCTAACCGGCGATCCCTATATGGGATCCGAACCCGTGGCCTTGGTGTTATCAGCACCACACTCTCCCGAGTGAGCCACGGGCCGGCCTCATTAGAAGTAATTTCTATTGATTAGAATTGCAGTCGGCCTCCGAATCTCCTGGTTCATTCCAAACTCAACAAACTTCATGTCAAGGTAACTCAGAAAGCTGTGGCTTAGGCATTTGACATCGAAACAGTGCCCTATTATGAAAAGCAAGGTTTTCTACAAAGAAATGTCATTTTGCATCCTTCCAAATTAAGATTAATGTTTTCATCTTTGGATAAAATGGCTTTGAGAACAAAAAACAGCATAACAGTAAACAATTTAGATCAGTGCTATTCAGTGTGGTCTGTACGCTATTGCTGATCTGCAGTAATTAAGGAGTTTGCACCAGAAAGTCATCCAGCTATGTCACTAAGCACACTGTTTTGTCTGGCTGACATTTCTTTTTATAGGAAGACTTTCTGGATGAAGGAAGCAGTATACTGCATTACATTCTGGAGTAAGTTCCTTGTCTCATTTCAGTGAGCACTTTGAGTAGCACTGCTTTAGATGCTATTTTAGCATGATATTCAGTAAGATGTCAAAAAGCTGTGGTTTACTGACAGTGATTACTATGGGATTCAGAGAAGAGATCATTTCATGCTAGGATTGCCACTGAATGCTTTAAGGAGGAGGCAAAATTTGGCATGGGTCTTATCTTAGTGTGTTTAAGAGTTATCTAGGCAGAGTGATGCTGCAAGAGCAATCCTGTGGATAAAATATGAAGAATCAGCTGTGTGTTGAGATTATGGAAGATATAATAAGAACTATGAATCTGAGAAAGATGAAAATCTAGGAGAGAAGTAGTGAGTCATAAACCTGAAAAAGTAGATTGAGGCCAGACCTCAGATAAAGGAATTTGAAGATTATTTTTGGAGGGAGAACAAGTAAAGCACTTGAACCAAAGGAATGACTCAATCAAAGTATGTTTCAGGAAGATTAGTCTGACATTGTTGTGTAGGCTACATTTTTACTGGAGAAAGGAGAGGGGCAGAGATTTGTCATGAAGCCTTTTGCAGTTTCCAAGTAAGGCGATAAAGTCTAAACTAGAGCAATGGTGGTGAGGATAAGAAATAAACCAGATTCCAGAGATATTTCTAAAACGATTCACAGAACTTGGACTTATGAGGCATGGAGAGGAACCAAAAACAACCAAGATATGACAGTTAATCAAGTGCATGGAAAATGTATGACCAAATTCATCAGTGTTCAGAATCAGCTTATGTATACATGAATCTAGTTTTATGCTGCGAATACCACAGTAAGGAAACCCCAGTCCCTGAAAATTGCTGTTCATCTATGTAGCTGGTGTGGGCTTTCATAGTCAGTACTAGGAAGAAGAACTGGATTAGGCTAGAAGGTGAGTTAGAGTTTAGAGAAGTAACAGTTTAATTTTTTAATATTATTTTAAATTTAATTTAAACCTTTCTCTTTTCCAAGGTGCTGATAGTTTATTGGATATAAGTTCTGAAGCTGACCAACAAGATCTTCTTGTCCTACTGCAAGCAAAAGTTGCTTCCCTTACTTTACACAATAAGGAGTTACAAGATAAATTACAGGTAGATAAACAGATTGCTACCTCAGACTATTCTGCACAGTCAAGCTATTGGTTTTTTCAGGGGTCATCAGATATATTTTGCTTTAAATATTTACATTAGTTTTCTTTTTAAATGTAGTTAGCTTTAAGCATCTTATAGTTTCAAATTATTTGTTTCTTGAGAGTATTATTCATTAACTCACTTTCTGTAAATTGCTAAATTGGTAAGAGATACATAATCATATACATAATATGATATATAAAGTATGACAATTATATATATTTATTAAAATGTATATATGAATGAAATATATAAGCCAAATTTATTTATATAAATGTTATATATATAATTTCACGTATATAAAATGTTTAACTATATATACATAAAATTTATACTTAAAATAAAAAATATATATATAATATTAGCCATTTGTTTAGTAAAGTTGATCATTTAGCAAAGTTAAGAACTTGATAAGAAATTACTGTACTATGCCCGTTGCCCTCTTAGTAACTAGAATGATATAAAAACAAAGGAAAAATGTGAATCAGGTTTTACAGACAAAACAATCCCAGTGTTTTTAAAGTAACACAAATAATCTGTCTTAACAGAGAACAGAGTAAGCTTTGTGTCATTAACCAACACTCATGCCGCAGGCCATGTTTTTTTGTGGCACACGAGTACAGATGCAAAATGATCCTGCTGTTCTCCTATACCTAAGTTTTGGATTTGTTTCTCTTATTCCAGTGGCTTGCTCGCCTAACTACACCTTTGCTGTCATTTAATTCTTGCTTTTTTTCCCAGGCAAAATCACCCAAGGAGGCAGAAGCAGATCTAAGCTTTGACTCTTACCATTCCACCCAAACTGACTTGGCCCCATCCCTGGGCAAACGTAATGAAACATCTCCTGAAGACTCCAAATCATCTCCATCTGTCCTAACACATTCCCTGAGTAAATCCACTATCAACAGTGATATCAGAATTCAGCAACTGCAAGAGATGTTGCAAGACTTGCAGAAGAGATTAGAGAGCTCTGAAGGAGAGAGGAAACAGCTACAGGCCAAACTCCAGTCCCAAAGGACAGAACTGGTGTGCTTAAACAACACAGAAATTTCAGAGAATGGCTCTGACCTCAGCCAGAAACTTAAAGAAACGCAGAGCAAGTATGAGGAGGCCATGAAAGAAGTCCTTAGTGTGCAGAAACAGATGAAACTGGGTCTCCTCTCACCTGAGAGCGTGGATAGTTACTCACATCTCCAAGAGCTGAGGGTCACCGAGGAGGAAATAGATGTGCTGAAGCAGGATTTGCAGAAGGCACTAGAAGAAAGTGAAAGAAATAAAGAGAAAGTAAGAGAGTTAGAGGAAAAACTTATAGAGAGGGAGAAGGGTGTAGTGATTAAGCCCCCTGTGGAAGAGTATGAGGAAATGAAAAGTTCATATTGCTCTCTTATTGAGAATATGAATAAGGAGAAAGCATTTTTGTTTGAGAAATACCAAGAGGCCCAAGAAGAAATCATGAAGTTAAAAGACACACTAAAAAGTCAGATGACGCAGGAAGCCAATGATGAAACTGGGGACATGAAAGAGGCCATGAACAGGATGATAGATGAACTCAATAAACAGGTGAGCGAGCTGTCACAGCTGTACAAAGAAGCCCAGGCTGAGCTGGAGGATTATAGAAAGAGGAAATCTCTAGAGGATGTAACAGCCGAATATATCCATAAAGCAGAGCATGATAAACTGATGCAAGTGACCAACGTGTCCAGGGCTAAAGCAGAAGAGGCACTGTCCGACATGAAGTCTCAGTATTCAAAAGTGTTGAATGAGTTGACCCAGCTGAAACAACTGGTAGACGCACAGAAAGAGAACTCTGTCTCCATCACAGAACATTTGCAAGTGATAACCACACTGCGGACTACTGCAAAAGAGATGGAAGAAAAAATAAGTAGTCTTAAAGAGCACCTTGCAAGCAAGGAAGTGGAAGTGGCAAAGCTGGAGAAACAACTCCTAGAAGAGAAAGCTGCTGTGACCGATGCAATGGTATCCAGGTCTTCCTATGAAAAGCTCCAGTCATCCTTAGAGAGTGAAATGAGTGTGTTGGCATCTAAATTAAAAGAGTCAGTTAAAGAGAAAGAGAAGGTCCATTCCGAGGTTGTCCAGATCAGAAGTGAGGTCTCACAAGTGAAAAGGGAAAAGGAAAATATTCAGGCTCTCTTGAAATCCAAAGAGCAAGAAGTAAATGAACTTCTGCAAAAATTCCAGCAAGTTCAGGAAGAACTTGCAGAAATGAAAAGGTATTCTGAGAGCTCTTCAAAACTAGAGGAAGATAAAGATAAAAAGGTTGGTGAAATTTTGATATTGGATTTCTAGCACTAAGCCCTAGGCCCTTCAACTTTTTCTATATTAAACATTGGTTTATAGCATTTGTTGGCACTAAACTATTGTAAATACTCAGAGGTTCTATACATGACAATGTCTATCCCCAAAGCCACGTTAAAAATTGTATGTTGGATATTTATTTTTTAAAAATACTGTCCTTCTGACACTTCTGCCTTAAAGCATTTTCACATATGTAATGCATATTTGCCCTTTAAAAATCATTTTATAGGAGCTCTGTCAGTGCTGGAGATCAGAAGTGAACCCACAGAATGAAAAGTGTTTGTGACCCATCTTGAACTTTAACTCCTCTTTTTGAATCCAAAACAGATTCCTACATCATTTGGAAACCCAAAAACTCCTATACTTAATCCTGCTTCCCTAAGCTCTCTGAGCACCCCCGCTCCCCCCTCCCCGACGCAGGTGTATAGGAAGGGAAGGGAATGCGTAGAGCAGCCAATTAGAGATGGCACTGGGTGTGGCATGGAGGAAGGAGGCAAGCAAAGGGTGAGTTCAGGTTGGTTCTGTGCCTGAATCTGCTCTGCATCCCTAGTCCCTGTGTCAGAGTTTCTGAATGGCATTCATTAGAGCACTATTTATCTTTATTCTTTTGTAATGAGTGTTTCAGAAAGAGCTTCAAAAGCTTACAGGAGTGGGGGGTTAGGGAGTGGGGTGAGGTGGGGTTGTGTTCACTTTAAAGCAAGATCTCCAGAGATATCAGCATTCCCAGGACTTGTTCCTGATTGCCCATATGAGCAATACTGGACAAGACTTCGCTGTTTCTAAATAAAAAATGCCTGAAATTCTATTTCTGATTAATTTTTTCAACCACACCCCTTTTAAGGTAAAAGAAAGAAGTTGACATTAAAGCTTTTGTTACATGCACCAAAATAAAATATGTAATTCAGAAGTCTTTATCTGAATATAATGCATGTAGAAGGCTTTGTTTGCTTGATTTTATCTGTTTCATTTTGGGAGTTTTCTTTAAAAAATAAGAAATTGTTCCAAAGTCTCAAGTCCCAGAGGCCAATAGAGATGACCATTTTCAAGGATTAGAAATATCTGGAGTTTTGCTTCTGCAGATATATTATTGCCCATTGATATAGTTTTCCTTTCTCACTAGATAAATGAGATGTCGAAGGAAGTCACCAAATTGAAGGAGGCCCTCAACAGCCTCTCGCAGCTCTCCTACTCAACAAGCTCGTCCAAAAGACAGAGTCAGCAGGTGGAAGCGCTGCAGCAGCAGGTCAAGCAGCTACAGACCCAGCTGGCTGTGAGTGGGCTGCTTTCCACTGCCTGGGTTGGGGTGGAGGGCGAGGCAGATTACATTCCATCTCAGCTGTTAGGGCAAGCTGGTGTCAACACAAAGAATCACAGTCTAAAGGAATGTTGTATTTAAGTGAGCAGTTGACTGAAGACTTCTCAGTGAGGGCAAAAGAGGGAACCGCTGGTGGGATTCCCCGTCATTATCTGCAGTGAGATGGATCAGATGTCTCGCTGGGAGAGAGGAATTGGCAGGACAGTGGGAGGAGACTGCTTGTTCTCTCATACGCCGACTTTTCCCCCTTCTCCTTCTGCAACAGTCATTTCTCATTTTTGGCAGTGGCAAGAGCTTTTTCTTCCTAAGGGCCAGGGTCTCTGTTAGTTATGTATCTACATATTTGAAGCTGCTACTTGGCTCCTCTCCTTACTTCACCCGGGAAAACCCTTTCATATTTGTATTGGTTTCTTATAGGGCTGTTATAACAAACGACCACAAACTTGGTTTAAAACAACATGGATTTATTATCTTATGGTTCCGGAGATCATAAATCCAAAATCAGTTTCACAGACTAAAGTCAGTGTGTTGGCAGGGCTGGTTCTTTCCTGAGGCTCTAGGCCATAGGGGAAAATCCATTTCCTTGACTTTTTCAGCTTCTAGAGGCCCTGCATTCCTGTGCTCATGGCCCCTTCCTCCATCTGCAGAGCATAGAGCATATCACTCCAACATCTTCTCTGTCTTCCCATCTCCTCCTTCTGCCTTTGACTCTCTTGCCTCCCTCTTATAATGATCCTTGTGCTTCCATTTAATGCTCAGCCAGATAATCCATGATAATCTCTCTGTCCATCTCAAAATCCTTAATTACATCTGCAAGATCCCTTTTGCCATATGAAGTAATATTTACAGGTTCTGGGGATTAGGATGTGGACATCTTTGGAGAGTCATTATTTAGCCTACCACAATATCTGTTAAAATTGTAGTTGGCAAGGGTATGTTACATTTTCCACATGAAGTCAAGGGTTGTTCTGTCCTGGACTGTTTCTAGCTTCCATTTACAAACAGAACATGGACTTGATGATTTCCTCAGTATAGACTTAATATGTGTGAACTCAGGTTTCTGCAGGCCTTCTAGCTGACCACAAAGTACAATACTAGCTCTCTGCTGTTAACAGCTCTAGCAGTGGTAGAATAATCAGAGAGATGAATAATCGGAGAGGAGAAGATGCTTCTTACTGTGTTCTGCAGGTCACTCTTCTCACAAAATGGTTATTACAGACTTGTAGATAAAGTGCTGATGGTTTACACGGTAATTAATGAAATTATTCAACATGTTTATTGAGCTCTTATTATGTGTCAGTATTGTGCACGGGCTGATGATATAAAAATGAATAAGACACAGTCCTTGCCCTCATGTCATTTATACTCAATATAGGTTAATATGGCAAGCATCCATTGATAAGGAGAGCCCAGTGTACTGTGGGCATACGGAGGAAATGAGTCTACCCAATTTGGGTGAGTCATGAAAACTTTCTACAGGAAGTGATGCTTGCGCTGAGTCTTGAAAGGATGAGTAAGGACTCATCCTCCCTTAGCGAGGACTGAGATATGGCACTTAGATGGGTCTTGATAACCTTGGTGAGAGCCATGCCAGCTGAGTAGTGGGGTAGAATCTGGACTGCAGTAGGCTGGCTGCTAGAAACGTGAGTAAATAGACATTTATCTGATGGGGCTGAAGAGTCACAACAGTGGGTCAGAAAAGCCTAAATAAGTTTGCTGGAAAGATAAGCGATGGTGGTCAGAGGGTGGGATGTTTTCAGTTGAGATTTCAGAGTTGGTAATGGCAGAGGTTGGGCTATGACCATTGAGAGCGAGTGGCTGAAAGGAAAAGGAGCAAGTCATGAAGGTAAAGTTGAAGAACTTAGAGGCCCAGGTGTTAGATCATTCAGGCAGATATTGAAGTCAACCAAATGATGACAGAGGCAGAGATGGAAAGGAAGACAGTGATGAGAAGATAAAGTCATAAGTAATTGGGGGGTCGCCAAAAAGTGGGGAGGAAACAACACAAAGAGAGGTATCAAGTGTACCTCCTTATTGCACAAACTTCAAAAGACTGAGGTGTCAAAGGTTATCCTTTAATAGGAAGGATACTTCATATTCTGACATTGGTAGGAAGGAGGTGAGAATGGGTATTGGTGGACTTTTATAGATCTTTGTAGTAATCCATATATAATAGTTTCAATTTTCATGATGAAGTAAGAGGAAAGGCCTTTTAGAATGAGAAAAGTTCAGAGCTGAATTAAGATCCTTGAAACAGTCACTGAGAGGAACTGGGGTAATAGCTCAACAAGGAGAAATAAAAGCATCAACAGCTGTACTGAGGAACCATTTGAGATAGGGGCCACTACCCTGTTTGCCTCCTTGGTATATGGATGGCTAAATAATTGCGTTCCCTAGGGCCCATACAACATTGGCTATAGAGTGGTAATCAATAACTCCCTTAAAAAGATTAGCTTTTTAAAATTAGATTAATTCATATTTGACCACTGTAGAAAAGTCAAAAAATACAGAAAACTCTAAAAAGTTTCAATAAATTAAAATTGCCCATAATTCAACAACTCTGAGATAATCACTTTTTGCATTTATTTCCCTGCAGTATATACTCTGAGTGAATGTATCTCTATACTTGCATAAGTATGTGTACATATAACTTTAAACCAAACTTGGGATTATAACTTTTTACATAAATTTTCTTTTAGAGTTGACATACCAAGATGAAATAGGTAGATTTTTGTCCCAAGAGTATTGACAAGTACTCAGAAACACACAAGCCAGTGAGTCCACAGCAATTTTAGAAGCTTCATATGCTAGCATACGTTGGAGGGGATCACTTGGGTAGCATTTGACCCCAGCTTTCTGATAGCTTTTTGTTTTTATTCAAAGATGTCCTAAGGTTGTTGATAATGTCAGATTGTCTCTTTTTAGGAATGCAAGAAACAACATCAGGAGGTCATTTCAGTTTACAGAATGCATCTTCTATATGCTGTGCAGGTATGATAACACCCACCAAGTATCTGGAGATCCTAAAGAAACATGGCAGCAGATGTTGCCAAAACTCCCATCATTAAACCAGTAGTAGAATGAACAAGAATTAGAAGAGAATCTTTTTGTTGGAAAGCTTTAAAATGCCTTTTGTTTGCTTTGGATTTTGCATCAGGAGACTCACTCCCTGTTTACTAGGAGCAGCCTCATCATTTATTAAGAAACGAAGGAAGATGTGGCTGCTGTGGGCCATCAGGAGGACCTTGCTTTATTTTCCAGGCATGCCAGTATTCCCAGAGCCATCAGCACTGCCTTCACCTGTGAGTGTAGGTGTTCTGGCTAGCTGGCTCACGTTTGCAACTGAGACCCCAGATACCCTTTGCTGAGGGCTTTGGTAAACCTAGCCTCATCATCATTCAGATGGATGAGAGGAGGGCTCTCTCTTTGACTCAGTTCTTCATAGAAATGTGGGAATTGACAGGACTGACATTCTTGTGAAAGACGGGGGGGAATAAGCCAACGGCTTCATCCCAGCCAGCCATGGCATTGCCCAGGAGAGCACGTGCCATGACTTAATTTGGGTTCTAACAAGTGTCTTTTGCTTGAATTTCCTAGGGCCAGATGGATGAAGATGTCCAGAAAGTACTGAAGCAAATCCTTACCATGTGTAAAAACCAGTCCCAGAAGAAGTAAAGTGGATTCCTTGGCAGGACACTGCCAATTGTTGCCCATTTTTGTTAGATCAAGAGTTGCTGGCAACCACTGCCATCGTTCTCATTTGTGGTATGCACTGTGACCTAGCATAGTTTCTTCACTTTCCAAAGGTTTCTGAGGACTGGGCCCAGAAGACTGCCCTCCTCAGAAGAGTTGCTGGCAACCACTGCCATCGTTCTCATTTGTGGTATGCACTGTGACCTAACATAGTTTCTTCACTTTCCAAAGGTTTCTGAGGACTGGGCCCAGAAGACTGCCCTCCTCAGAACTGCTTAGAGACTTCAAGCCAGCAGAGGTGAAAGTCCCTGTCCCTTCAGATTCCAGAGCTGGGATTAGCGACACCCAGAGGTCTGGTCCTGAGGCTGGCAGGTGGGCCCTCCTTGGTACCTTCCCAGCTGAATGGCTTCATCGCCACCGAGTGATATGCTGAGGCCTCCGTGCAGTGAAGGCTGCTTTACTGCCTACACTCAGGCTGTGCCATTCAGCACAGCAGAGGTCTTTTCACCTTTGGCCTCCAATCCCAAAACATGATTTAATTTCTAACCAAAAGTATGGCATTAATTACAAAGTGCATGCTTAAGACCCTTTATCATGATATCCTGTGGATTAAAAAACTTTAATTCCATTTTTCCCCCATCTGCCTTTTATATCTCATTACCCTGCTTATCAATCTCAGTTTGATGAGCACTATTAAGTAAAATATGAAGTTTAAAAAAAATTGTTCTTAAAAGATTTTTTTAAGTAGATCATTAACATATTGCAAATTTTCTATGCAAACTTGCCTCCTGCTGTTATCCATGAAGCTCAGGAAATCCAAATATTTGTGTTTCAACAAGGGACAGTAAACTATGTGTTTACAGCCAAAAGAAATGCCTCATAGTTCTTAACCTCGATTTTTTAAAAGTGTTTTTTTCTCTATTTTTATTGGCTCTTTAAGATGTTTTCATATCTAAAACCCTAAATAAGTGAAATAATGTTAGATTATATTAACAAAATATTTTTAGGTAACCATGCTTAAGACTTTTTAAAAATATAACTTTTTCCTCAAAGTTTTCAGCTATAGCAAAAGGTAGTTATGTATTCCAAACTTAATATGAGCTGCCACCAATACCCCTAGGACTTTTCTGCCATGTGTCCTCAGAACTGTAGTACATTTCTGAATAGAGCAAATCTTCTTTTTACCCGTTGAACATTTTTGAAAAATCCTAACTCTACCAGTGCCCATAAATTATCTCCGGAAGGACTGTTAGTACCAATCAGTTTTTCAGTTTTGAACTAAAAATCCTGATATGGTAATATTATGGTGCATAGCAAAGGTCTTGGGAAAAAATATTTCTGTTCACTTTACTTTCAGGCTAAAAAATGTTTCTCACTTGCAGCTTCCCTTCCAGCATTGATCTTATTGAGGGAGATAAACAGAATACAGAACTCTCCAAACTATATAACTTAAAAGTGTAGGTCTGCTCTGACAGGGCCCATGTACCACAGGGCTGCCTGGGCTCAGAGGACGCTTGCTGTTCTGGATGATATGTTAATCTGTATTGGATGAGGACCAACAACAGCAATGCAAAATAACTTTAAAGCTTGGTGTTACTTTTCTTAAGTTGTTTAATTATAGTTAAGCAATTTCAAAAATGCTCCAAAGAAATGTGAAAGGACTTTTGGTTGTAGCACTTAAAAAATACAAAACAATGCCCCTCCTGTCCCCACACAGAAATGCTGCGGAGTATAAAAGTTGAGACATTTTGTAGGATGCCTGACACAGTGTAGCCTTTTATCTTGTTTCAGGATGCATATTTATTACAAGTACTCTGGTTAAATATTGAAAAGTTATATTATGTAGTTTAGTATTTTGTCTTTGTAATTTACAGAAATTATTGCAGAAAATAAACTTGTTTCATTTTGCATCTTGTTGATTTTTGGTGTATTCATAAGTGTATCTCTGCAGTTTCTGAAGATCAGTTCAGTAGCATTTCAGTGTGATGGTTTTCATATCCTGCATCATGCTCAGCTGGTGGGAGCTGTCCACACTATCTCACATCAAGTTCCACAGCATTTCCGTCTCCCAGCTCTTGGATTCACCCTGAGCTCTGCCCCAAGTATCAGCCACTTTGGGGCAGCTGTATCACAGTCTTTTAATTCAAATTCATTGGATCTGTAGTTGTTTTTTTGTTGTTGTTGTTTTCTAAACTTTGGAAGCCTCTTCTGGTTTTTACCCTCTTGCTTCCTTCTTTCTTTTTTGAAAAAGTAATACATACCTATAGTTAAAAAAAACCAAATTCAAATACATTCTTCTATCCCATTACACAGATAATTCATTCCTGAGAAAACCCTTGTAGGGTGAATTCTTATAGGTTAAAATTGTAATTAAAACACCAAATGACAATGAAGCAATGCAGCAGGGGACAATTTAAGTAGTTAGCATTTAACAAAGCTGTTTCCCTTCACTCACAGCATGATTCCACCACCTTTACTTCAGCTCTCTCCCTGCTTCATAGTGTACACTGAAACTTTTGATTTTAAATGAAGCATGTGTGTGATCCTCAGTGTTTACTTAATTGTACCTTTAATGCTCCTCTCCTCCCTCCCAAAAAAAGGAATGATGAAAGAAGTCAATGAAAATAATGCAAATGGTATATGAAGTTATCATTATTTTTAATTATCAAGTGGATACACTCTGAGAGGAGAATTTACTTCAACTGATGCCAACCAAACAACTGAGAAGATGACTTCATGGGGACACTCAGCAGGACAGGAAACTTAAAAAAAACCCAAACCAGTCTTCATAGATGGAAAGAAATGCCTCACAAGCCAATTGGTGTTATGAAAAGAAACTCTCATACCTCACTGATTAGATATCAAGCTATAACTGCAGGACAAATAAAAATAAAGAGAAATCTCTCTCTTAGTCCCAATCCTTAGTTCACCTCCCCAAAAGCAACAGCTTTCAAGTTTCTTGGTGATCTGAGACATTCTATGTCTATATGGACATGTGCAGGCATACATTTTACTTTCCCCTTTAAGTATCTCAGATTGTTCCGTGTCAGCACACACATCTCATTCTTTTTAACTGCTGACTAATATTTCATGGTGTAATTATGCTAAATTTTAGCTAGTTCCTCATTGATGGGCTTTTAATCTGCTTCCAGTATCTTATAGCTACAAAGGGGATGCAATGACTATCCTTTGTATAAATGTCTTTGCACATGTGTTAGGATACTTTGGATAATTTTCAAGTTGTCCTCTTTCACATTAGTTTCCATCATATGATACAGACAGAGAAAAAAGGAGTAGAATATTGTAGGTATCATCACATGGAGTAAGAAAGAATGGCTTTTTCATGTTGGTCGAATAAGAGTCATCAATTTGTTTCTCTTATTACATAAACTTTAAGACAGACTCCAAAGCCTTTAATAATTAAACCCACCCACCTTAAGGTAAAAACATGATATGCTGTGTGGGGAAAATGTTCCCAGAACATGCTAAAGCACAACCTTTTGCAATGTGGCATAACTGTGGAATGTTGGGTGCTGACAGCAGCAGAAACACTATCCAGCAAAGATGGAGGTGATGTGTTTTGAGCAAAGTTGAAAGGCAGACTGCGAGGCAAAGAGTGAGCTGGAAAAAGCAACAGACCAAGGAACCAGGGCATTCATACGGTAGCAATTTCTATTCACCAGCTCAGGGCAGAGAACTGCCAAGCATTATGGGAGTGTGCAGCGTATTTGAGAAACAATTCAAAGAATAAGAGCTCAGCTATGATGTTCACCATAAGTGGGCCATAGGAGCTGGTTGACAGAACAATCAATGTGGGTCCCAGCATATGGAAAGGCTTCCCTGAGGAGTAAAGTCCCAAGTGATGGATGTGAGTAGGAGGGAATAAAAGAGATATTCCTGCACGTTTATTATAAACCAGGTCTTAAATTGGGAAGACACAGCATATTGAAGAACCGTGACTGGACGTACCAGATTATAAAATGGAGGATGCGGAGGGGAGAGAAAGGAGCAAGACACAGACAGATTATGTAAACTTCAAAAAGCCAGCAGAGACAGGGAGGAAGGGCTCCTTATGTGTCACCTCCAGAGTTTTTAAAGCCATGTATTTAAGTCAGGTTAAACACACTCTGGTAGGCAGAATGAATCCCCCCAAAGATATCCATGTCCTAATCCCCAGAACCTGTGACTATATTAGGGTTGTGGATGGAATTAAGGTTGCTTATCAGCTGACCTTAAAATTAAGATTATCCTGGATTATCCAGGTGGGCCCAATGTAACAAGAAGGGTCTTTTAGAGTGGAAGGAGGAGTCACAGCCAGAGAGAGATTTGAAGATGCTGCACTATTGGCTCTGAAGATGGAGGAAGTGGTCACAAATCAAGAAAGGCAGGTGGGATCCAGAAGCTGGGAAAGGTAAGAAAATAGATTTTCTCCTGGAGTTCCCTGAAGGAACCACTCTTGCTGACATCTTGTCTTTAGCCCAGTGACACCCATTTCAAACTTCTGACCTCTACAATTATAAAATAATAAATTTGTGGTGACTTGTTACAGAAGCAATAGGAAACTGATGTACACACTGAAAAGCCAGAATTCCTATTACTGAGTTCCTAAAGATGATTCACAATTTATTAAATATTATTAAACTCTGATGATATGCCAGGCACTATGCTGAATGCTAAAGGCTCAATGGTGAGCAAACAGTTCCTGCTCACAAGGAACTCACAGCTGATCAAACAGGACCTGTCACCCAGCAGATATTCAAAATTCATTGGGTGGGGGGATGGGTATTTAGATAGATAGATCGCCTTTAAGACCCTGCATGACCTGATGCCCTGCTACTCTACTGTCTCCTGTCTCATTCTTATTGCCCTTTTGCCGTTCCTTGACCCCATTACACTTGCTCCTACCTTAGGGACTTTGCACTTGCTATTAATGTCTTAAAATGTCCTTCTAGGTATTTGCTCCCTCATTTCTTTGAGGTCACTGCTCAGTGACAACT